TCGAGACTGTTTTTGAGGTGACCCCTTCGGGTTTTGGTGCCGGGTCGACATCAGTAACACTGAGTAAATGAGGTAGACGATGAGGAACTTGCCCAAACCATCTCAGTCCTCTTTCTTGTGTGACCTGGATTATTTTTGCAATGTTGTCACAGCGAGTGCGGACTCTCTCATTAGAGACGAATTCGATGCACTTCACCCGAAGGATGGTCTTTCAGTAGTGCTAATCAAATATCTCAAGTTTTCGCTCATCCTCCACACGCACAGCCCAGCATTCCCAACCATGGAGGATAGACCAAACAGATACCCGATATACACAAATCTTCGTAATAATGGAGATGACCTGTCGGATCTATAGGCATCTTCTAAGGTTTGAGAAAACCCGGTGGGTATAATCAGTTCGGCAGACAATTTTGTCCCTAATCTGCCCATTTAGCAGCAGCCTTGTCCCGAGGGATTTAGAACTGTCTACTTCAAGTTGAATGCTACCAATCTCGAACGATTTGGAAAGATTGATATGGACCAGAACTCGTGCATTGGTCGAGCAGTAATGGACCTTGATCTTAGCAATACCTTTTGAGATCCACCTGCGCCCTCTCCCACCTCCATTCTCCTTTACTCTGTCTCGACTCCGGGCCCAGGTGGAGGGAGTGGAGCAGAGAGTGAGGTAGTCGAACGCGGTGCCAAATTCAACAGAGCAGTTGTTGGTAGCTATAGCGGAATTCACGAACGCGCGTCGACTTTCATATATGGTCGTGCATCTACATCCGGCGAGGAATCCGGTTTCGTTCCGCCCCATTCTAGATTCACGTACAGCCTGAAACCACCTGAGCGTTGAGGATGCCGCGGTAATTCTCGCATCCTTTCCTGAAGACAAATAGAAGGCTGTCTGCGCCCTAGTCATCAAGAATTTCCTCTTCTCTCTCGCTTACTCAATCATCTCTAGGACACAGACTGCCGACACAAAACTTATATGTTTAAGCACCGACATGCTGCCCTGTAGAGCAGTTGACTCATAGGTCCTACAGACGTATCGAACGTTTTCTCTCTACCCTTCGTGATTATTTGTGTAGTCTCCTAGTAGCGATAGAACTTTTCTCCAAAAAACCTTCCTATTCGTTTCTACTCGTTAACATGGCTCTGACGCAAAGTGGTATCTTTGGCTAAAACCTTTACTACAGTGAGGCCTTCTGACGTTTGACCGATAATCTTTACGATCTCTTGGTGACTACATAGATCCTTTGTCCCACTAAAAGAGAGGACCCATTAAGTTTATCGGCAGGAATGCGTTATGAGAAAGTGATTGGACACCCGTCTTCTAACCGCATGATTGCAACCCATCAGCATAAGCAACTTTACCTCTCTCTTGAATGATCTTTTATGTAGATTTGTCTCTTTTCTGGTCTGCTTGGTGCTGCAGTTAGTTTATTTTTCCATCTTTTAGGGCAAGCCTATTATCGGACTGCGTGATGATATCCTCGGACAAGTGGCTTTTGTGGACCAGGCCAGGAACTTGACATTTGCGTATGTTACCAATCATGCCCACGGCTGCTCGGTCAAACGGGACTGGATTTTGAAAACTCTAATTCATGAAATCTACGCCTGCCTCTTACCGCAGTGAAACTACTAGGAACCAGTGAAGCCCTCTTTTTTGAGGGGAAGACGAGCCACGAACTCTTTTATTTCCACATACCTTTTGAAAATACATGACGTAGTCGGAGGCGTTGGTTTTATTTGTAGTCTTTCATCCGAAGTGTTGAATTTCCAGGAAAAAACCTTATCCATCATTTCTGAACTATTACAATGCAATTCCGTAAGCGCTACAAAACCAAGGGTAAAGATAAAGGTGGTTCTGCACATAACTCGAAGAAGGGTAAATATTCCTATGTCCTAAGCATACAATAAGTTTAAACCGTAATCATAACCTTGACCCTGCCCTAAACCTAGATTTAAAAATGATCCTAAACTTACCTTAACGCTAGCTTTGATCCTGACCTTAAACCTTTACTTATTTTCCCTGGGTTTGACGCAAAAATCCCTGCACCATGAGCGGTTACTGATCTCGTTATTCCTACTAAACTGAAGTTGAATAATGTCGCGAAATGCATCATGTAACACCTAAACAGGATCGTCTAGGGAAATCTTCGTGCTTTCCTGGCCATTCCGTTGATTCTTAAGGTTGTGCGAGTCTGAGCAGTGGTTATGCCTAGGGCACTACAATCATCAGGCCGGATCCCGGTTTTAGGGTAAAAGCCTGAAGGCACCTGTGAGAGAGCTTTATTGTATACAGGACTCCCAGTTGCTGTCTCAGATTGCAGTGGACATGGGCGAAGCCAGGGTTAGTGTTGATTGCGTCCAGCCGGGTCTGAAAGAAAGTGAGACTTGAAAATAGTAATGCGAAATTTTAATGGATCCATAAAATTTCATGAGTGCTCGTCAGTTCTCAAGTTCTCACCGGGAAAACTATGCTTCAAATTTCAGAAAGTGAAACAGTGGCGGCAGTTGCTTAAGGAGAATTGCGGGGCCAGTTCATGTGTTTTCTAATTGGCGCATGTGACATTACCGGGAGATATCGTATCTGGTGGCACAGAATGTGCCGGCCGAGGGAGAGGGAAAGCGGCCTATTCAATTGGCGCTTGGACAGCCAGGACTACTTGGACGCCCTTGTGTCAGAGTGAAAATCGGTAGTGTCTGCAGTTCAACGCGTCTAAAAGCGCTGGCTAAGATATTAGATGACCTTGATACATTTGGCCTTGAACAAGGAAGCCGGACCTGGCAATGTTGGGCGCCGGCTACAAAGCCATCAGTCAGGACGTTATACTCTGCTCCGCTGCTGGCTTTTTAGTCGCCGAAATGAGTCGTGGGATCGTTATTAGTGATTTCAAAGTTACCATGTCTTATACTAGAACAACCCACGGCACGCAGGTCGTGGCAGGTTTTTATCTTTAAAGATTTTGGGCTTCCCTTCCTTGGGGTAATTGCTTACGTTCTTACTTGATTAGCGGCGTCATTTCCTTATTGGGCTTTGACCTTTGTGTGATCCTCATTACTAGATATTTAAAAAATTAAGTTCTGACAATTTCATCTCATTTTCTCTTGCCCAATTTCTCTGCGTTTGGCTCTCTGCTACAGTGCTGTGATACCTCGGGCCGCGTGGTCAACCCAGTGTATATTTGTATGGGGTGGCTAACTGGCTTCTTCTTAACCTGGCCTTTACAACACCCCCACTTCGTAGGATCCCAGCTAGGTGTGGTGACACGCTTAGAGCGGATCCGGCCACGACAGCTACTGCGCCCTCTCCCGTCTCCGGTCCTTTTGAATATCTCTCGACACCGGGCCCAGGATTGAAGCAGAGAGTGAGTTAAATGCAGCAAAAGTCACCGTCGGCAACAGAAGTTTAAGTAGTGCACCTCATATACCCCTAGACCCAGCATTTTGTCCTACGGAAACGGTGATTATAGGGTTTTATGCGTTGGGAACTAGGATAGACAGAGGAATGTACTTTAATAAATGTTATAAGGCATTTGCTCCTCTCTCCCACCTGAGCTTACAATTATGACCAGGTCATTAAGACCATAGGTGGGAGAGGATGCAGCGGGAACCCACACCTAGGCCTGTCTACGTACACAGAACGAGGATTCCACTCAACATGAACGGGGGCGGCTCAGATCCCGGTTGAGTAGGAATGCCATAAGGGCGACATTAAGAAGGAGCACTTGTAGCCTGACAGTCCACCAGTTGGCTACTACATACAAACAAACAATGGGCTGACTGTGGGGTCTAATTTATCCCCTCACTTGACAATTTTCTAAGCCATAGATTTAGCCTAGCTTGATAAATTCAAGCACGTCGGATTGATTATAGGGAGGAAAATGCGCCGAGGCATCAATCGCACTCTCTCTCCTTCAGACACCAGTTTACTGCTCGAGACGGCTAGTTGTCTGGTGCCTTGAACGGGGTGCAGTGGCTGAAATAGCTAGTAACCTCGCCTCTGCGTGTGGCATACACGACCTGGCCCCTAAACACGAAACCATGGGATTTCACTTTAAGGGGCGTGGGCAGCCTACACCTCATATGTATGAGAATGCCAAACACTTCACGGTAAGAAGGAACCATTACAGTCCAACTCTTTATCCACCATTCGGCAACTCCACACAATGCACATGGCTGACTGTACAGTCTGTGTTAAATCGTTGGTCGGCAACTTTCCAAGCCATGGTGCTTAGTGCACCGTGATAGTCTTATGGTAGCCTGCCCTTAGTACCGCTGCACTGACTCATATTGACTTCGCTTCTAAAACCTTTGGTACTCGTGCGTGATCAAACGACTTCCCGGCGTGCTGTTAATGGCTGCTAGATGCTGGTGATGTCCTGTCCGTCCTACGGTCCCCCGTCGACGCCGCTTGAGGTGCACGTAAGCTCGAAGCCAATCAATGCGCGCCATTTCACCTGAATCGCTGCACAGACCACTTGGGACATTCCGCAGTCAAGGCTTCCCGGCAGCGCACACACATTTGTCGAAAGGAGAGATTATCGACTACAGAAGGTTCCCCAAGTCAAGAAGTCAGTAGGACCATCAGTAAGCCAATCAGCAGATGGTGCATAGCTCGCGAGAGAAAAGTCAAAACATCAAAACGACCTTGACACATCACGTGACGGCCACGCCTGCATTGTCTTCGGGCAAGGCCTGATGAGTCACGCTGGGCGCTCTATAGAATTGGCCGAGAGCGTGGGCAGTGGAGAGTCACGTGTGGGCCTGCAGCCAGGCATGCGATAAAAGTGTCAACGCAAGTCTAATCGCAGGACCGCTACACACTCACTGAACTGGCTTGAGGACGCAGCGGTTGCGACTGTTTGGTAGCATTCGTTGTAAAGTCTCTTACTGTCGAGAGTAGTGGTTTCGGCAACAGAAGGTTCCCCAAATCAAAAGTCGGGTATGGCAGACTTGGTAGGAAGGTGGTGACTCACTCCGCGCGAAGGCTTAGCGCTGCCAACGCGTGCACATGCACTAGCCGCCTACGCTCATCTGTTTAGCCGATCAGTCTGCCCCATCACCTTTCAAGGCTGACTCACACAAAGACTGCTCTAGGCGCTAGTGACAATTCCCCTGCTGGCTCCACCCCGGACTCGGCGCCCTAGAAACCAGACTGCACTCATCCGAGTGCCAACTTACTCTTGCCTACTGACCACTTCCTTCCGTACAGAATA